TTAGATAACAATATTGAAAATATACTGAGCATATACATTAAATTACATGACAGCACAAAAGCAAGAACAACTGAAATGTGTATGTATTGTTTTTTGTAGCTTCTTTTATTTTTAAAAAACATCAAACTACTGTAGCTATTTATAAGCTACAATTAAATCTCTGTGCAAATCACTTTTTCTTTTTCATTTTGGAATAAACACAGCATAAAAAGTTAGGGGAAATCTTGAGGTCCTTTGCTCAGGTTTACTCAGCACTACCATAAAAGTTTTCCCTGAGAAAGGATAGGAGGTTTGCCAGATTAGGGAGTTGACCCTATTGGTAATTAGTCTGTAAATGTTAGTATAGTCTGAGTCTGAGTGAAACAAGTGTCTTTCTGGTTTTAACCCTCCTAGTGTGCTCCTCTGGCCAATTATTGTGTTATTTAAAATGATTATTTTAAAAAAATAAGCCAAAGTAAACAATCAAAATAATTAAATTATGCTGAATCTGGAACTAAATCAGAAAGCTTTACTTTCCTGGATTAGTTAATAGTTTACATTTTCCAATGAAAGAGCTTCTATTCCTGGGAGAGATGGGGTAAATGTAGGGTTACCATTCGTCCAGATTTTGCCGGACATGTCCGGCTTTTTTGAGTTAAAAATAACGTCCGGGGGGAATTTGTAAATGTCCGGATTTCCCCACCCCATGCAGAGCATGCACGCTGACAGGGCAGCCGGCCGGATCGTGCCACTCACACGGAGCTCCCGCAGCCAGAGCCCCTCCTCCGCTTTCCCCTCCTCTCCCCTGCAACTTGAGATCACTCCCCTCCTCTCTCTCCCTCCCTTCCCCTCCCTGCATTCGCAGATCGCTGGCCGGCCGTTCGCCTCGGGCCTCCGGCAGTCTGGAGCTCCGCCCCCTGCTCCCCTCCCCTGCTGCCAAGTGCGCTGCTCTGCAGCACTCTGTTCTGAGCGGCAGGGTAAGGGGGCCAGGGGGTCAGAGAAGCAGCAGGGAGGTTCTGGAGGGGGTAGTCAAGAGACAGGGAGCAGGGGGGAGGGTTGGATGGGTCAGGAGTTCGGGGGGGGCGTGTCTGGGGGTTGGGGGTGTAAGGTTTTGGGCAGTCAGAGTACAGGTGGGGGGGTCTC